AGTTCAATAGGGTGGTTTTGAGTGTTGCTGGGGCCCACCTCTACATTCTCTGTAAGATGAAACAAATCTCCCAAGAGAAGAAAACACTGAAGAGAAAACAGATTGTCTTGGGGGCTGCTTTTGTTCATGACAGCAGCATGGATGTGTGGTCTCATGCCATTCCCAAGACCTGATGGGCTGTTTGGCGCTGGGCTGGTAGTGAGCTCACAGCGATGCTGCAGAAGAAGCGGTTTATAATGCTTCAGCCAGGGTCTGCTCTGTGAGAGCGAAGAGGAGAAACAGAGTAGGCAGCAGAGCACCACAGGAAGGGGCTGAATATGCAGTCCCTGGGATTTGTGTTCTAGGGGCTCAGAGTTGGTAAAGCCAGCAACTGTCTTTCCTCTGGCTGTGTCTGGATGAGGCATCTATAAGCTTTTGGATGATTAGTGCCCGTTGGCATCGGGCGTTCAGAACCGGCACCCCCAGGGGCTTGAGGCAGCAGGCAAAAGTGGTGGGGAAGCTTGTTACTTGCAGGCCAGAGTCCCTGGGGGTGGCTTTTCCCTATGCCAAATAGATATCCCTGAGAAGGAGTTGCAATATTCTGTCATTGTAAGAGATAAACATTCTGTGAATTCCACTCTAAACATTTTTCTGACTTTCATGATGGCTTCTGCCGTGGCAGAAAGCCTTTATAACCCTTGAACGCAGCAAGGTTGCACCAGTCCACTCCCAGGCTCTGTTAGCAGTTGTGAACAAGGCAGTGCGAAGGGCTGGGCTAGAAAAAATTATGGGGGAATAGGGAATAAAAGGGGAGCAAACGCCTTGCACGGCCTGGAACCAAGGGGACAGGAGAAGGGAATCAGTTGTGAAACCAAAGTGGTGAAATTGGCTGCCTGCAAAGATGATTAGCCTGCTACACTCCTGCTGAGTGGAGGCTGTACACCTGTATGCTCTCCATCTCTGGTGTCGCCTGGGTTTGCCCTTCTCTCGGTGTGCAGGCTGGAGGAAATAAGCCTAGAAACCGTGCAGGGAGTGGGTGGAATTGTCAAGGCAATGGCTGAACCGAGCTCGTCTTTCAAACCAAATCTTCTGGCACATACATGCTCCTTTGCCTCCTAGTCCATTGCCAGGTCAGTCAGGCTGTGCCCTGCCTGCCTTCCCTGGGGTAATGCTGCTAACAGCTCCGCTAGCTAAGGACTTGAGCGATGTGTTGCCTTGTCAGATGCTGACATGGCCTGCACTTTTTGGGTCCTGAACATGGTGTGTTTCCTCCAGAGAGAGGAGTTACGTCATTCCGCTTGGCTTTGGTCTCACCGCTTGCCCTGTGTTAGTCTGAATTTGTCTGGTGAGCTCCATGCAGGTGATGGATATCACAGTACCTTCAGCCACCATTTTCCATCCTGAAGGAAAGGATGAGTCCCATTTTGACAGGAGAAGGCGTGTGTCTGTGACGGAGGGAAGAGGTAACTTTTGTCCCTTCGCCCCCTGAAAAATTGCGGGACTAGGATGGAAAGGCTGGAGCACAGAGACTGATCAGAATGCCAAAAATACCTTAATCTCTATAGTGCCGCTGGCAGGTTAGCACCCAAGGCTCTTAAGATGAAGAAACTACTGTACTTGACTTCCTGATCCTCTGGTTGTGTGGCCATAGCAACAAAACACTTAACCACTGCAGCAGCAGTTGAGGAAAAATGGTTGCTTGTAAAATGCCAGCAGGTGCCCTTCAGGTGGTTCACATAAACAGCCCAGTCCAGGTGCTGGCAGGCAGGAGAGCTCTGGAGGGAAGGGGGAGGCAAGCTGGCAGAGAGGGATGAGCAGAGCCTGGGAGGGGAACTGGGGTGTCCTAAAAGAGGGAGTCAGAAGTGCCGAGTCAGCCGGTGGGAGCCAAGCCCCTGTCCTGGCCGGGCCATGTCAGCAGTCTGCTGCTGCCGTCACCTCACCAGCCTGAGTCCTGCTCTGATCCAGAGGTCCTGGGTACCTGTAAATCCTGGGATGGTGCTTGTTAGGCAAAGCAGTGCAAAGGCAAATTCCTAGCAGTCTTTCTAGTTTATCCCAGCACGATGGTAAGGTCACATCTGCTGAGGGCAAACATGCATGAAGATACCGCATAGATTATCTGCGGAGCAGAGCAAGGTGCTTCTTGTTGTACAAACAGAGAGCTCTGAGTATGGCAGACGGCGTGCATTGAATTGAACTCCCTGCCTGCAAGTGGGTAGCAGCTTGCAAACCGTGTTCTGTGTTTGCATTTGACACTAATAGTCTGAGCGTCCCATGACGCTGCAGAAAAACCCTGTATCTGTTTCAGGGATTTAGTGTGTGTGTACATAGCGCTAATGTGGATTAGCAGCTGGATGATCTTTGGTTGAATGTGCTTTTGCTAAGTCAATTAAACAAAACCCAAAGTACTGTGATCTGAAGAGTTGAGATCTGCAGGAGTTAAATCGTGGAGGATCTGCTTTGGTCAACAGCCACAGAGAACTCCCTAACTTAAAGGGCTGCAGATGGTTCCACTGTGGGTCTGGAGGGAGTGCAGTGAGTGCAGAGAGGGACAGAAAAGCTGCAGTCCCTTGTCTTTGGGTGTTTTGTTGATAGTGATAAGACTGCAAGTGCAGTATGTGTCTTGCTCCTTACAGCCACCTGGCTTGGAAGCTGTATCTGATGTGATGACTTGGGATAGCGATCGCAGCAGGACAGGAGTTGTTTACAGGAATGCTTTCTGGAATTATTGCATGACTATGCCACAAAATGTGCTTGCTGGCTGGCACGTGACTGTGCTGCAATCAAAAATGGTTGTGCTCGCAGAGGACTGGCTGCTCAGGCTGCTACGGCACTAACACAGCCTGTAGATAGCTGCCTGGGACTCAGCCAGGGCTCCCGGTACAGCGCGCTGCCAAGTACTCCTTGCCAGCATTTCCCACGCAAAGGTGGGAAGGGCTGCACTTTACTCCAGGTTGCCACAGACTGCCTGTGCATACAGTACCTACTTCAACGCTTCAATCTGAGGCACACAGCATATGCTGGCAAATGAGCTGCTTCCCAAATAATCCTAGGTGTGTAGAAATACGGCAGGTGAGTGGGGAGCAGCAGGGGGCAGGCAGGATGAGAGCCTAGCTGTTGGCACCCGTTTCAGTTACATATTAAGAAAGGGAAGGATCCCTGACTGTTGCTCTGCCTCCGGTGTTGGCTCTCCTCTGGTAGGTGAGTGCCCGTGTGCTCCGAAATACTGTCTCGTGCAGCATGTTGCATGGGGAAGCACTGACCTAATTAAAAGGAACCATTCCAGGCTAGGAGTTGCCAGTTATGGCCTGCTAGAGGTCCTTCCTTGTGTGAAGGAACAGCTTGCAGCTCATATCTGTTTTGCTAATCTAATTTTGTTAATCTTGCACTTTTGAGGGAGTTTCTTCCCACTCGTGGACCTGAAGAGGTGGGTGTGTGAAGCTCACTTTCATTCTCTTTCTGTCTGCCATTAGACGTCTGTGGCAGAGACAGTGACTTGAAGACTTGCTCTATCTCATCTCCCCTAACCATGTCAGCTTCACTGTAGTCATCCGGCTGCTTCCCAAGACCCTCCACGCTGCCCTCGCAGCTAGCCGGCCTCTGGCATGGCTGTAATGTGTTACAAACCTGTTGTTCTTACAGGCTTGGGGACTGGTCCTGGTGTCCCAGCAGCCCCAGCTTGCTCTGAGGGGCCCCACTGAAGCCCTTTTTCGGCCTCTGCAGCACGACTTTACAAGGAACCTGCAGGGACAGAAATAACAGGAAGACTTTCACATCTAGCATTGACTGGATTGCACTGGGATACAGTCACGCTGGAGAGTTGGTCTTGGTCTCAAGCCAAGCTCAGCTTTTAAGAAGTTCTGGTGCCCTTGCAGTGCAAACGCCAGATTTCCCATGCCGTGCCTTCCCTGCCTATCTCGCCCGGCCTTGGCCCCTGTTGTCTCTTGAGGCTGTTGAAGATGCCTGTTGGTTGTGACACTTCCTCAGGAGCCTCCATTGGCGATAGAGGGGAAAGTCAGGCACAATATTTTAGCCCTGCTGGCGAGGCTCAGATATCTAAGCCAGGAGAGAGATGACCTGGACTCCTTGCAGAGTCAATCAGTTTATTCAAGTAATTGACAAGTGTTTATTCTGCTGTCTGGAGGCAAGACACAGAATGGGCTGCCTTGAACTCCTAGACTCCCGTGCTATTAGGTTAGATGTAACTTGACTGAGCTTGCACAGCTGCTGGGCAGGGTCAGGGACTCCAGTGAGGGTTAGAGGGCTAGAGGGCCACTGAGAGTGAGTCTTGCAGGAGGTACACGATGCTTTTATCAGCCTGTCCAAGAAAGGATTCAAGAGGTGACTTGATCCACCTGCAAGAGGTAGGATCAGTCTAGTCTTAGCTGACAACCATGGAAGGTGACCAGCAGCTGGAAGCCAAGGCCACACACCCAAAGCAGGAAACAATTTTCTGCTCACCCTCTTTAGCACAGACTTCTCTGACCGGTGTGGTTGATGATACTGGGCAGAGGGACATTTTTACTGCCCCTGGAGTCCTGGATCATGTCTCACTCCTTTGCTTGCCACATGGGCGCAGGCTCCTGATACTACTCTCCCTTTGCGAGAACTGCAGAGATCTTCACCTTCACCTGGACATCCTGCCGTAGCCCAAGCCCTCCTCTGCCTCTTCAAAATCTTTGTTTCTGCCTGGCCCCAAACCTATCGGCAACTCATTACTTTTCTGACAGACTCATGTCCCTGTCTACTTTCAGCCCAAGCCCATTGCCTATAGACCTCCTTACCACTTTAGCTCAAATTCTTGTCACTGCGTGTGAAACTTGCGTTTTTCATGTCTGGCTGTGCTGTACTCTCAGGGAGGCGATATCCTCCTCTTCTCTCGGCACTGAAGCAATGTTCCTCTGTGCTTCTCCCTGGCTTCCTGCACTGTTCCCGCTATGCTTATAGTATGGCACCGTGCTCTGGGTCCAAACGCTCTGCCCGCTCTCCTCCTTCACGCTGACTTCCTTGGCTTTATCTTCCAAAGGCATGGAGAGGGGTAGATATCACTGAACAGCAGCTCCCTTTCCCTTAGGAATTCCTTGCATCCCAGGGAAGGTTATCCCTGCCTAATCTCCAAAAGGTCTTTCTAAGAGTATATGCTGCAGTTCCTCTTTCAATTAAATGCCCTTATTCTTAACTGCAGTGTTACATGCTCTAGGAAAAACACCTTTTTGCAAGTCCTCCCAGTACTCTGAACCTCTCTCCTCTTTGAGCAGTCAAAAAACAAGAGCTGTGCAAGGCAGGTGAAGCCCTGCTCTTCCAGTTTTCTGCTGTGATGCCCTTCCAGAGGATGAACTTCCAGACAGTGGCGTTACCTCCAAACTGCAGCTGCAGGACTGTCAGCCCTGTGATGGGAAGGTGACATGCGAGGAGCTCTGTGACTTCCCCTTCTCTGCTTGTGCAGCCAGCTCAGGACGGCGTTTCAGACTTCTCAGACTTGGCTGTATTGATCAGACTAGTTAAAAGGCAGGCTTGGAATTAGGTCGAGATTGCAAATAGGTTTCCTGCTGTGCATCTCTGCCCCCACCCTTGCCTTCCAGTCTCACTGAGGTCCTTCTTGCTGTGGGAGATCCTGTCTTGCTAGCTGTTCTCCTGGTCTCTTGGGGAGCAGCTGCAGTGCGCCACTGCTATTCTTAGCTGCGAAGACAGCGTGCAAGTACCTGGCCCGGCAGAGCTGGAGCTGGTGCGCTGCTATCTGCCCAGCACATCTCAGATAAATTATCCAGAAGATCTTGGTAGTGTGTAATTGAGTAGCTCTGCCACAGGCTGTGCTTCCAGCTATGTACGCTCTGCTGTACAGTGGGGCACAGTAATTGCTTGCTCCCCAGAAGCCAAGAGCTCTGGGTTCATCTCAAGTGATTGTGTCCCCTTCTCTGAGATTTTGCAGGGACCCCGCAGATTCACTTACCAGATTTCTTGCTTCCTCCTTTCCTGGTGGGAGGTTGCATACATCGAACAATTATCCTCCCTTGGCTATTTTGCCTATCCAAGATGTTTTGCCACCTGGTTTCTGGCGCAGTCCACTCTTCTAACACAGAAATTAAAAGATCTTCAGATGCTGGGGGCTGGGGGGGGTGTGCCCTGGGGATGACTTGAGCAGTGACTGGCTCTGTTCAGATCTGGTGTTAATGCCTTGGGAGCGATCTGCTTGCTAAGGGCTGCTGGACCAAGGATCTCGAAGTCTTTCTCGGCACTAACCAAGTGACAACCTTGATTCTCCGTCAGGCCTTGCCGCTGCCTTGGGATGTGCTAACAGCTGCAACAAGCAACGCCGGGGGATGCCCCTTGTACATCACAACGTCCACGTCTGTGAGGGATTTGGGGCAGGACATGCTGTTGCATCTCGCTGACGGGTTTCACAGTTCTGCATGGCCATCTGCTTCTTGCTGGCTCTGTCCTGTCCGGCTCCCGGTGCGCTCCTGCTGCTTTGTTGGCCCCAGCCAGCTTGGCTCTCCCCTTGCTCTCAAAGGAGAGGCTTGGCCTGGGGCCCAGCCAGCGCTGCATGTTGCACCCCGGTCCCCGTGTCAAAGCTGCTGGCACGGGCGCTGCTGGCGGTCAGCCCGGCGGGTCCCTGGCACCAGCGTTAGTGAAAGGCCTGCGGCTGAATGACCTGACTGATGGCGCCGTCTCCCTCTCTCTCTGCCCCAGATCAGCGGACCATTCTCTGCCCGGATCTTCCGTTTCCACAGACTTTGGCAGCTGGCAGATGGTGACAGGGTGTGGCAGTATTCGGGAGCAGGCAATCCTGAGCGCAGACGCCTCTCTCCCTTGCAGCTTCCTGGATGAGTTCCCTAGCACTTGCCTGTAAGTGTCTCAAACGCAGGATCTCTGCTTGAGTGTCTTGGCTGGCTGTGAGCACTGGAACTTTGTCACCCTGGCACTTTCGAAGAAGCCTGGGAGCGCGTAACAAACTGTCCCGTCTTCTCTGCCTTGATGTTTTCCATCCACAAATTCAGTCACTGAGCACTCTTTGCTTATGCTGAACTCGGAAAGAAAACGGCATTTTCTCTGCCTCATGATGGGGGGAGCACTTTGCTTTCTGTAAGAAGAGGCTTTTCTCTCTTCCCTGAAGACGCTGAATTTGGGCATAATTGGGTGCATTTGCGGATGCATGCTTGTCAGGACAGGACTGGTAACCCAGATTTTCTTGCTTTTGGATCTTGCTCATCTCCGCCTCCCCGCTGGGGTCAGGTCCTTGCTGCAGTAAGAGAGGGGATTTCCTTCTGTCACCGCAGTTTTGTCTGACCACACGCAGCATCATTTGCAGGTGCTGCATCTGGCCAGTGCGGAGCAGCAGAGACCCTGCATCCTGCCGCATCTTGCCGTGTAAAAAGGCTGGGAGGCAAATGTTCCTCCCCAAATAAAAAGCCACCTCTGTGGAAGCTTGAATGGGAGGAGGTACGCTTTAATTGCTGTTAGAGGAGAACCTTGGCTTGTGCCTTCGGGCTGCGAACTCTCGATCAAGAATCTCAAAGACCAAATCAGGGGCTGCCGCTAGCTAGCTGTGCTAGAGCTCCCCTGTCAAATGGTTGCGGTCCCTTACCAAGATCTGAGTTCACGCTTTGGAGGCAGAGGGCAAGCGATGTGAAAACCAACATCTCCTGTGAGACAGAGTAGCTGCTCTGGCTCACCTTCTCATGTGGCTGTGTGCTGTGTCACTGAGCAAAGCAGAGCAGCTGCCCCCAAGTCACGGTGAAGCTACAAGACCCATGAATTGGCAGATCAAAAAAAAATCAGGAGAGATGTCGGACGTGGCCTGGCCAGGATTTGCTCTCCTCCTTTCATTACACGCTGAGTGGCTCCTGCAGTTGTTTGGAGGTGGGTGAGGGAGCAGAGGGGACTGAGGGATGGATATCTGAATTAGTGACTGCTTTACTGTGCCCTGAACCGGGCTGTGCTTGGCAGCTGCTGATCACCAGTGAGTTGTTGCTCCACTTGGAGTTGGATCTAACGTCAGAATAGGGAATTCAGTAGAGAAGCGTGAATTGAAGCTGAGCTCTGAGTCTGCCTGTGCTGAGGCCTTAGGCTCCTGCCGTTTGGAGTCCGGCTGCTTGGGACAGACAGGTTCAAAGGGAGGGGAGCAGCGGTGGTGCCTCTCCCTTGGGTGTGCAGCAGATGCTGTGAGTGCTCTGCTCTGTTCGGCTCTTGACGAGAGCTCTGGGGTGCTCGGGGGCTGGGACTAGGTGCTGTGTGGAAGGGGATGAAGAGTTCTGTAGGATGTTGTGTTGAGCTTAACCCAGGGCCTCCACTCTCTCTCTGCTCCGCATCAGGTCTGCTTGCTCAGGAGCCCATTGTGGGTTTATCCCAGTTTTTCACAGCCCAACACAGTATGAGTTTTTGGAAAATTAAATTCCATTTAAGTTCCCACTTTACATCTCAGCTGGCAGCAGCTCGATGAAGGTACGCTTTTCACAGCCTACTTCTTGTGCTTGTGTGGGGCTTGTCAGGGCTTACTTTGAGCTGGGGCTTTGACAGCCTCCTCTCATCCTGCACCCCAAGCTGCAGACGAGCGGGCAGGCTGTAGGAAGTGTAGCGGGGCAGAGTGCTGTGGATTTGGCAGGGAAGCACGACCTGCCTCCCTCTTCGAACTGTCGGAGTGAAATGGTGCAGGCGGTCTGAAGGGCTTGGTGTTGGGCAGCGGCTGGCCGCTTGACCCTGCATGCTCACTCCATGAAAGAGAACTAAGAGTCTAAATACAACATTTGCCCTGTGAAGAGGCACGAGAGCCAGAAGATGCAGGACCTAACTGCTGCACGCCCTCGCTTACCTCTGCATGTGACATTTAAGATCACAGCACTCGGGTGCAAGTAAGTCCTGCTTTCATGTAGCTTATTTTTAATGCTAGCAGGTTTGCGAGTTACACGTCCTAATTAGGTTGCCAAAAAGCATCTTTTTAATGTGTTTAGATATGTTGCCTTTTTCCTTTGCCCTCTGGCTTTTCTTTATTATCAGACACTGTAAACAGCGGCCTGGTTGGCTGCCTCGGCATCGCTTGCTGTTTATAGGCCTCCCACCATATCCTCTTGCTGCTGTTTCCGGACCGAAGCTGTTGGCTGTGGGTGGTTAACACTTCCATTCAAATGAGCTGTGCCAATTTATAGCCAGCCCAGGCGCTGGAGAGATTAAAGAGAATTTTTTATGGGGAAGGTTCGCACTGTGCCCTTGGGGTGACCTTTGAGGAATATCTTATTCTCTCTGGGAACCACTGGCACGTCTCAGAGGCGCTGCAGCAAGGACTGTTTCAGGCTCGAGCCCTTGGAACAGCTGCTCTGGACCCTGTTCTTGCTTTCCCCTGCTCCCTCAGCTGAAATACCGCCTTTGCTCTGCTCTCGTCCCCCCCGCCCCTAACCAAGAGCATGGATCAGCTGGAGAGGAGAGCAGGTCCCAGGGGAAGCCGTGCCCTACTCTGCACGTAGCCCTCCTGCCTGCAAAGAGCAGCCGGGCCGGGGAGCAGACGTAAAGCGCTGCTCAGCTCTGCTCTTTCCATGGCTGGAGCACTCCTTGGGGCTTTTGTCACCTTGTCTGCTCCCTCTCATCCTCCCTTCTCCAAAGCTGTCTGTGCTGCCACAGGCATGAGAGGCTGGGGCCTGTGGAAGCAAGAGATGGTCACAAAGAGGTTGGAGGTGACTGTCCAGGCACGGCACATGTGGACAGGCTCCATCTGGGAACGCTGTGCGAGGAGGGGAGGGAGCTGGCACGGGGGCTGACGTCAGCCAGCACCCACTTGGCAAAAGCAGCAGTTTCTCTATGAACCATGGCCTCGTGCACACCGTGGAGAAACTGGGGGGGTGGTGGTGAAGGAGGAGACTGAGGGGAGAGCAGGAGGCTGGGGCTGCAAGAGGCTCCATGGGAGAGCGTTGGGTTGGGTTGGACAGGGCGGCAGCGGCACCAGCTGCTCTAGCTGGAGCCTTTTGGGAGCGGTGCTTCCTCAGCTCCTGGAGCCCCCTGAGCACCACGGCCCGGCAGAGCCCCAGCCCTGCTGCCGGCCTCTTCCCCCCCGTCAGGAGTGAGAGCTGGGATGGGGAGACTGATGGCTGCAGTCGCTGACCTCCCGCTTCTCTCTCCTAGGCTGGTGTCAGCGAGCGACCGCGAGTCCCGGCTGGAAGAAGTGCGTTCCACCTTTCTGGCCAGCTACAGC